CTATTATTGCTATTGCTATTGCTATTATTGCTATTGCTATTGCTATTACTATTACTATTATTATTTCATAGGGATGTGTGGGTCAAACAGCTGAAGGAAGCCAACATCTCCCGTTATCCTCTTTGCATTCAGAGTTGCTGCACTTCACAGATAATAATGGTAAGTTAAACAGAACTTGGGATATTTGTCAGGGCACCTGAATTTTAATAATTTCCTAACTGCTCAAGTTATGTAATAAAGAATAGCATTACTGTATGTAAAGTGAACCATACCTGAAAACAACCTTCTGAGTTCCTTTTTTTTCAATCTTTTGCAAATGCACCATCTTTTCACTGATAGCATCCATCTCCAGAGTATAAAAGCGGTGCGTGTTTGCTTGGAAGTGAATGCCAAAGTGTTCAGTAGTGTGGTTATAAGGACTGCAAATGTAATGTGCTGTGCTATTTTGTATGAACTTTCAGAGAAGGTAACTGAGATTTTGTACATAAATGTGATCCTATGAGCAGTCCAAAAGCTCCTGTTTCAGAGCTAGGAGAACTGTAAAACTGTGGTTGTTTACATTGTTTAATCTTAAGCATGTTTGGAAATATATTCCACTGAAATCACAGAGGGAAGTACACTTTCTTGGAATTTAGCCCCACCAAAATAATGGGACTAGCTGTCAATTAAACTTGCATAATGTTGGCTGTATCATTCTGTGGGGATTCAGATAAGAATAAGCTAAACATTTAAATCATAAACAATTAACCTGTTAAATCTAATTTATCCAGTTGTAAACCCACATGGGAGTAAATGATATTGGATTTTGAGAGACTGATTCCAAATAACATGCTTACAAGTAGGCTATTAAGAAATCTTGCTGCTTTTTATAGGTGCCAAGTTCTGTGTTTTATTAGTAAGACTGAATTATTGAATTTATCTGTTGATATTTGGCCTGGTAATAATTGTGAAATGTGGGCTATATTTGATGTGTTTCATTACTCTGTGTCAAAGGATTGAACATGACTTTCTTAAATTAAACTGATATATTTGTTACTGGCTTTCTTCCAGTCTAGAATTGCTGCCCTGCAACTTAAAACCTAACAATAATAACTTAATGGACGAGGAAATAACACCCACACACATTTAAGCTAATGAATAACTGTTGCTCTCAGTGAGGTCTTATCACATAGCAATAGGAACCTTAATAAAGATCAGAGCCAATCCGTGACTCGCTCTGTTTGCCTTGCAAATATTTCAGAATAAGTGACCAACTGTCCTGTGTAAGAACACAAACATACCCACCTTTTTCTCACAACCAGGTTAACAGGGGTTCCACCACAAAACTGCGTTCGACTAAAGCATGCTCGATGAAACCGCGTAGCTGACGTCATCACAGGGCGACAACAGCGCGGAGACAGAAGCACGCTGTAAACGCTAAAC